TGTCTTACTACTGTAAAACCGCTCGCAATACCGGTTGCGGGGAAAAGACATACGGTCTTTAATTCTATATGCTTAATCACAATTCTTGCAGATAACCATCGAGCTCCCTACAGCCCCTACCAAAATCCATATCCTTATCCTGCACAACCTCAGGTCCCACAACAGTGCATAGGTAAGTAGGCTGAAATAATTTTTTGAATTAATGAAGTGAATAATTTCAGGACCATGTGTGAACGGTCAGTGTCCTGCGGGATACGTATGCACTGCAAATAATCTTTGCTGCGCCCCTGTTGGCAAGTAATTATCGGAACTATTTATTTTATTGTATTTTAAATAAAGAATATTTGCCATGTGTTTCTGTCAGTAGCTAAATTATTACTTTGAACTTGCTTTATGCTTATAAGTAAATGTTCCAAGCTTATAAGCTATGCTATATTAACGCTGAATTGTTAGAAACGGTAGGAATGTTTTTGAAAGACGCAGCTTGTGCCTTTCCGTTTTCTTTTCTGATAATTTGCTGCCACCAAATAGTTGACTGCCACTTCGGAAAAATCCACAATTAAGCTCGAGTCAACAGTCATCTATTACAATTGGCCTCACAAATAACCCCAACTAATTATTTATCACTTAAACCGTTAAATGTCAGTTGCAGGCGTAGGTTATACCCCAGTTTCAGGAGCAAAACGTGATGGTGGTTTTTGACATACTATGTTAGCTGACAAGAGGAAATAAACAAATCTTTTGGTTCAATTCAACAATTAATGGAAATATTGATTTTTTCAAACAATAATCAATGGGAAATGTAGCAAAAACAAAATAACACTTTTTTCAAACATTTTTTATTTATTTTCTTCGTTTCCTTTCTCTATATACCTCCTACAAATTGAGGAGCTACAGTCGTCTTTTCATATGAAAGTGAACTTGTGAAGTATATTGACATGATTGAACGTTTTGAGACCATTTTAAATCCTAAATCATTTTGAACTTTTGCGCATTGACTGCGTATGTTTTCCTTTTTGAGACCAACCAAGAGCAGAAAACGAGGGAAAAGCAAG